CTCTTGCTCTCTCTGATACAAGCGAAAAGATGAGATCAAGGAAGCAGATGAGAAGGCAAAGAAATTGGATGAATCGGTCCGAGCTTTACGTTCACAATATCTCCGCGAGAGAGAGAACAACTACCAGGGTTGTTAGAGTCCTGGATTTCCGGTCCCCACTCCACCAGCGTGCGCATAATTATATCCTGTCGACATACCTAATTGTTAAGGTTTTGTCCGAGTAGAGTAATTGATGCTATGTGTGTGGCAATAGTGATGAGCAGAATCGCCGAGACACTTAGATGCGCTAATAGACACCACCGGCGATAAAACTGCGGAGATTAACGACTCAGACGAAGGTGATCAGGCCAAAAAGGGCTCTCGGCGAGAAAATAGGGAGAGAGCAATTTCAATGTATGTGCTTCGCTGATATAGTAGAGGAACAATTAAGTACCGCTTTGCCCAGGAGCTCATACTTAGAGCCCGCGCAGGCGGTCACATAGTGACTATGAGGATGTGATGATGCAATGGATCCGACAAAGCAAAGGGAGACCGGAATAGCCAACTCTGGCTTGTTAGCCTTACCCAATCTCAGGGGTTGGAACCCCCGAGATTCGAACCCGGGACCTTTGGTCATCGAGTTTAACACTATACCTCTGCACCACGGGCTGGTTGTTTTGTCAGTTGGGATCGGGAATATGGTGAATGTATGTGTAATCTTGATTGGTATGTGGTACCGTAGCAATTGCATTTCGTAAATACTGCGTCCCTGTGCGTCCGCTACTCTTATCTGATATTAATATGGAGTATTAACTCGAAATGCCAGATAAATAAAATGCTCGTTGCCTTGGTTTAATCTTCTTTTGCCCTTTTCTTCTCTCTCTCTCTCTCTCTCTCTCTCCAAAATAATCAGCATCTAGGTACAAACTCTTTTGAATTCGGACACAAGGGTAGTTTTAAAGGCCACTAGTCGATATTTGCGAGGGAAGCCGATGGTTAGCAGGTATAAATAGAAATAATTGGCCTTAACGAAGTTGACACCGATAACAGTTGTATGTTAAGAGGCAGAGCGATAATCTAGCAGTCTTCCGAGTCCGATTGAATTCGAGAAAATAACCAAATACACTCAGCGGTTTTTTTAGCGAGGAAAGTGGGACGCACCTCCGGACCAGTTGCCAGTAGAATCATTATCTGAGACTCTAACTGAGGGGCTGTCTGTAAGGTTAAACCACCAACGGATTGCATGCTTAACAATCTGTGGATTAAATGGTTTTTTGGAACTAGTTGGCACGAGCAAGTCCGCGTTTAGTCAGATAAACCACCTGCTCCTTAGTCCTCTGAATGATCGAGAATATGCGAGGCCCAAGTAACTGAATA